CCTCTGCGAGCCACCAGCCCTAATTACAGCTTTGTGAAAGAGCGGATACCTAGCTGCCTTTAAAAAAAAAAAAAAAAAAAGAAAGAAAAAGAAAAAATTGCCGGGAGGGACAAAATCACACCCACTTCAGATAATGCTCCCGTTACAGGGAAAAAGGCTGTGTACTAAAATCAATCTGTGTAGGGGAGCCTGGGTGGCTCAGTCGGTTGGGCTTCTGGCTCTTGGTTTCGGCTCAGGTCATGATCTCACGGTTCATGAGTTCGAGCTCCAAAATGGGCTACATGCTGATAGCGCAGAGCGTGGCTGGGATTCTCTCTCTCCCTTCCTCCCTCCCTCCCCTCTCTCTCTCTCTCTCTCTCTCTCTCTGCCCCCCTCCCCCACTCACTCTCTCTGCTTCTCTCTCAAAACAAATAAACTTCAAAAAAAATTTTAATAAAAATAAAATTAATTTGTGTTGCAAAGCATCTACTAGTTAACAGGCAGCTTGGATACACTATGTCTCTTAATAACCAGCACCATAAAGACACAACCCAAAAAGGCTAGACGGGTGCATCAATGCCCCCGGCGGACAGACCCAGGCTTTAGGAACAGGAAATTCAGGCTGCAACATTTATCAGGCGGTCTTAAAAAAATGTTTTAAAAAGAAAAGAAAATCTCACCTGAGGATGACATGGAGAGTTTTCTAGCAAATCAGCCAAGTCCTCTGTGCTTTGCCTCCCTCCGGGGGGGGGGGGGGGGGGGTCCTCTCTCACCAGTCTGGGCTGGTACTGTTTCCTCTCTAATGGATCCCTGTCCCAGGCGTGTTCTCCCTCCCCTCCTGAAGTGGCAGTGTGCAAAACGTCCCTCGATGAACCTGTATCCACACCCGTGGGCACCTCCTTCCCACAGGGAATCTCCATAGAGTCCTGCCACTCAGTTTACCAATCGAAGGTGCCAGAAGTCCGGTACCAGTCCTGAGCCCAAGCCTGAGGAAGGCCAGGCACTTTGCAGCGTGCATTCCTGGAGGCCGGCCACCTTGGGAAACCTCCAGCTCCCCGCTAAAGAGAAAAGCCCGTCCCGAAAGGCCCAGGAGGGTAAGACACGAAGTGGAGAGGAGAGAGCCACTTGGAAAAACACCAACACACCAAGCAAGCAAAGGAGCAGAGATGCCACTGGGGGAGGTCCAGCCCAGCTCTGCCTGCCCGGGGGACCCCAGCCCCGGCCACCGTGATGTGTGACAGATGCCAAGACAGACCAGCAGAAGAACCACCCAGCGGAGCCCCGTCGGCCCCCAGAAATGCAGGACGGGATACTAAATGGTTGTTTTGCGACACCAAGGTCTGGGGTGGCCTGTTACTCGGCCACCAGTAAAGCCATCATCATTCCTCAAATACCCACGGCACAGCCCACCTCCCCAGCTCCGCGTCTCTCTCTCTCTCACATCCACACCTTGTAAGCTCCAGCAGCACGTCGCATGAACCCAGAGTGAGAGAACAGAAGGTGGAGAGGTGACGGAGTTCAAGGGTGACATCGGCAGCCCGCTGGCTGGGCTGGCCAACAGGGTCACGTCGTCTGTCGGTGCCTTTGAGGCCCGCACCTTCATGGCCACACGGTCGATTCTCAGAACAGCACCTCAGTCACGGAAAACTCTGTTGTGTGTGTGTTCCAATCTCATTCCCCCCTCCAGAATTCTTTCCCAAAAGCTCTGGGGGTTTCCGCAGATGCCCTACAGTATCTGCCAGGTCCCAAGTTCAAGGTTAAGAGCAGGCAGGCGGCGGGGAATTCCTGGCCTTCCAGCCACTGGACCTGCCCAAGTCCGACTCTCCAGCATTTCCCTGGAGACGGGGATCTGGGCTCCCTCCTCTGCCCGCCTTCCCCAAGAGCTGTTCTCAGCCGTCAGGCACCCCCAAGTCTGGCGGAAACCTCTACAAGGCCTCCAGTCTACGGAGGGGACCTTGGTCTGGCTTGGAGCAGCCAGATAGGTCCCCAGAGGTCTCCATCCCGTCTCAGCTCCTGGACCTCGTCTCCCAAATATCAGACTTCCCAGCTCCTCTCCTTCTTCAAGGCTGAAGAGAACCCCCAGAACGTGTTTTCTGGAGGCTTTTATCTCAGGGCCCTTACATCTTAAGCCTCCGCCCTTTCTTGGGAATGATGGGCTCCCTCTTCCAAGTGCTCTCCCCCTCTGGAGGGTTCCACTATCCCCTTGTGCCCAGCCCTCGACCTCATCAGGTCTCTCTCCCCAACCCCCACTTCTCCGCTTGGGCTGACATCTTCCTCGAGGCCACTTTCTAGAAGCCAAGGATGCGCTGTGCGGTACCCTTCTCCCATTTCCTTGACGGCCTGACCAAAGAGATCCTCCCCCACCTCACCCCCAAGAATCTCCCCAAGCTGGCCTCTCCCCCGGGGCTGGCCGGCCTCCAGGGCGGATCTCGCAGCCCCGTGAGCTCCCAGCTCCCCTCCGTGGGGTGTGCTCCTTGCGAAACCAAAAGCCTCTCGGTTCCGCTTTCTTTATCTGAACGAGAGAGGGATCCTTGGGGAGTGTCCATTCTGCATATGCTGTTCTCAACCTGCAGCACCCTTCCTCCAAGAATGAGTTTCTTGGTATCACTCTGCCCACCGCGCCGTCCACCGTCCCCAGCTGTGCCCCCCACCTCCCCACTCCCCCGCCTGGAGGCGGGTGCCGTCAGTTCTGGCTGCACCTGCGTCCCCAGCGGCTCCCCTGGCCTCCCCGAGCTCTGTGCCTCCAGCAGGCTCAGGGCCAGGCACCCCGTGCCACTCGCCCATGAGGACTCCCACCTCCAGGCCCCTCTCCCAGCCCCCCTGGCTTCTGCACGGACGTCCAGGCTTGACGAACACCTGATTTCACGTACCGGCACTCTCCACTAACCGAGTCTGCCTTTGAGGGCTCACCCCCGCCCCAAGGGGCTCTTCCCACCCAGCCAGCCCTCAGCCGAGGTCCAGCTCAAGCACGGACGCGGTCCCCGGACCCAAAGAGCCTGATCTCTGCTCCTGCTACTGCCCTTGCCTGCAAGGATCCAGACCCTTCCCTCACTTGCCTTTTAGCAGTTGAGCCCACGCTGTCATGGTGCAAACGGGCACAGAGGTAAATTCAGCCATCTAGTGACTAAAGCCAGCGCGCAAGCGTTACCCCCTTGGGCGACTGCTTTCACTTCTCCCCCTCACCTGGGATGTGGGGACAGCGCCTCCCCCTTCACAGAGCTGTCAGGGGAAGGGGCGCCTAGTGGGTGCTCAACAAACGGTACTGCTCCCCCACACGCCCCCCCCGCCCTCCCCCCCCCTCTGCCGCCGTGGGTCACCAGATGGGAGTTGTCCGAAAGCCCCTCGGGCACCAGAGATTTCCTAACTAGGCAGACGGGCCTGACGCGCCCAGGGCGGTCCCAGCTGAGGGTTCAGCTTGTTTGTCCCCGGGTCTGGCTCAACCTTCCCTTTCCCCAGAGGGAAAAGCAGAGCCACGCGCTGGCTACCAGCCTAGGAACCCGCCGGCCTCACCTCCACCCCGAAACACAGCCGGCTGCTCAACCAGGGCGCTCCTCGCCGGACAGACTCACAGATGCCAAATTTCCACATCAGTATTTCCTGGAAAAGTGCAATCCGGGAGGAACTCCCAAAGAGGAATCTCTCCCAGGGCGGCTTCTGAGCCACTGACTGGGGGGCCGCGGGGTCTTGGGAAGAGGCGAGTACACCTGCTATCTTCCACTTTTGGATCTCAGCGCGGATGTGACGGACATACACCTGAGCTGTCCCCGAGTACAGAGGCTCCCAAAACACAGGACCAAGAAGACCCTGGTAGCTCTTCTTCTGATCAGGCCCTGAAATCTCTTTCAGCCTAAATTCTGCTCAAATGCTCCTAATCCATTCCGGGAGTTGGGGGGGCGGAGGGGGGGGGGGCTGGGATTTTGTCATTCTCCTCTGGACCTGGAAAAAGGCTCTACGAATCCAGCCTCTTGCTCTGATCAGATTTCCACAGGATAATTCTCAGCAAACTCACTCACTTCACCCCATCCATCCATCCGTCTTTCCTTCTCTTTCTTTCCTCGGGTCCCACGACCAGTTTCTCCCCAAACTTGCTACTTTGTTCTTTGCAAAGTAGGTCAGGGGTCAGATTATAAATACACGCAGTCTCTGCGATTCGGGGAGGTGTTTTCGGCAGAACGTTTCACTATGTATTTGGACAGTTGTGGGCAACCGCCTGTGTAAATCCATACAACAATCGTGCGCTCAGGCTGCCTTTCAGGAAAGGGGAGAGCCTGTAAGGTCACTCCTGCCTACCCCGCCCCCGCCCCCACTAAAAAGGACTTTAGAAACTTCGGAGGCCACTCTGGCTGTGACCATGAGCTCAGCGATTAGAAGACACGGAGGCCTCCCAACTGTCACCCAGACAATAAACAGCCAGCCGACTTGGCTCGGCAGGTCCTGTGCAGCCCTGGGGACAGGCCGGAACCCCAGGAGCAGGCCACTTTTAGGTTCTGGACTTGAGCCTGCAGGCGCTGGGACCTGGGCAGGACCCCAGGATCGGGCAGACGGCTCAGCTGACCGGCAAGGGGGCGGCCCCCAGGCGGCCTGACGCGGGGCGCCACGGCCGTCCATGGGTCAGCGGCCTCTGGGCTCCGGGGCCCAACCGATGTCGCTTTTCCGGATCCCCGTCCTCGGAGAGTCGTGCCCAGACCGCCGGCCCCCCGCCGTCGCCGGGAGCGCGCCCGCCCGCCCCAGAACTCACACAGGCAACAAGTTCTCCTTCCCCGCGGCGACCACGATGCGCCGCGGAGGCCCGGCACGGGGGGCGCTCCGAGCGCGAGCCCCGCGCTGCCCGGCCCGGGGGGGCGCCCGCTGGCTCGGCCGCCCCCAGAGTCGGGCGCGCAGCGGCTGCCCCCCGCCCCACGCCCCCGGCCCGCCCCGCGGCGCCCCCTCGGACGCGGAGCGGCTCGGGCATCCCCGGCGCGGGCAACAGGTATACGCGAGCGCGCCGCGCCCCGCAGCCCCGGCCCCCCCCCGGCCCTCACCTCCAGCAACTGCACGTAGCTCGCGGGGAACCAGCCGCGGAGCCCGTCGTCCTTTTCGCCTTCCCACCAGCCGCCGTCCGGGACCTGCAGCAGCGTGATGAGCTCGCCCGCGGCGAAGCGCAGCCCCTGGCCGTGCCGCTCCCCGGAGAAGGGGTACAGGGTCCGGCAGCGGGCGCCGGACATGGCCTTGGCGCCGGGGTTCACAGCGCAGCCTGCATCCCCGCCGAGCCCCGCGGGCTGGGCAGCGCCTCCGCGGGGTCCCAGGCGCCCGGCGCTCCGGGCTCCCGCGCTCTGGGCGGGGGGTCCCCGGCCGGGCGGGGGGACGCGCGCTGCGCGCAGGGCAGCCGAGACTCGCAGGCTTCGCGGAGCAGGCGGCGACGCCCCCGGGCCGGGCGGCTCGCAGATCCAGCGCGGGGCGGGGGGGCGGGGCTCAGGGGGAGGAGGAGACCCGGGCGCCGCGGGCTCCGGAGACAACTTCCCGGGGACGCGGCGCGCGGGCTGCGGCCGCCGGGGCCGGCCGGAGCGGGGGCCGCCCGCGCGCGCGGAAAGGCGCAGCTCCCGGGGGAGGCGGGATCCGGGGCATCGCCGAGGGCCCGGCTGCGCGGCGGGGGAGCGGCCGGGCGGTCCGCGGAGAGGGGCCGGCGGCCGGGGTGGCCGCGCCGGGGCTCGCGCGGAGGCGAGGGGGCGGGGCGGGGGCGGGGCCGGGGCGGCCCCGCCCGCCGGGGGGACAGGTCGCTGGGGAGTGGTCTCCCCGCGCACGCCCCCGCCGCCCCGAGCGGCTGCGACTAGCGACGCCCTTCCGTGCGGGCTTCTGGAGGTCTGGTGGCCGGCGGCGGGCGGCGGGCTCCGCGCTCCGCGGTAGGGAGTGTGTTCGCGGCCGCTGTCGGGGTTGAACCTGGGGTTGAACTTGACTCACCGGAAACTGAACAATGGGTGAAAGACAGGTTTGAAGCCTGGCGCCCGAGCCGGGAGGCGGGGTGGCGGGGTGCTAACACTGCGGGGACGGAGCTGGGAGCTGGTCGAATTGGAAGCAGGCCTGTGAGGATACGTGGAGGAAGGGGGAAAGGTGAGAGGGACTGCCCTTCCCTTCCCCCGCCACCCCACCCCCGCCTCCGGTGTACCAGTCCTCCTGAAATCCAGGTGGGCCGGGCGGAGAAGTCTACACTCATATACTCAGTCAACAAACAGTGGGAAGTTGCCACGTTCCATGCAATGAGCTGGGGACCTACGAAGATCATCTGGACTGGACCCTGCTCTACAGAGACCAGAGGTCCTGGATGCCGAAGAAATGACCTTGAACCGAGGGCTTAGAAGTCAAAGAAAGCTGGATTTCCTCCTTAGTCTGCTGTAAAGGAGAACTTAAATTCTATTTCCTAAGCTGTAAATAACTGGACCCTTTAATCTCTCTGTATGCTAATTGCCTCCCCTGAGATCCAGCTCAAGAACCTTCCTTGGCTCCCCGTTGCCTTTTAAATTAGGTACAGATTTCTCTGGCGTCTGCACCTCAGACTCTACACTACCACCCCTGGCCTCATCTGTCATGATATTTGCCTGCATAACCCCTCACAAAACCACTCACACCGGACCTAAGAGCCTTAAGATCTTGCACATCTTTCTTGGCTTCGAATCAGTAGTTCTCAATCCTGGTTGCACGTTAGAATCAACTTTTTATTTTATTTATTTTTTTAATGTGTATTTATGTATTTGAAGAGAGAGAACGTGAGCTGGGGAAGGGCAGGGAGACAGAAGGAGAGAGAGAATCCCAAGCAGGCTCCAAGCTGTGAGCGCAGAGCCTGAAGTGGGCCTCGATCTCATGAACCGTGTCTGACGCTTAAGCGACTGAGCCACCCAGGCACCCCTGAGTAACCTTTTAAAATGCTCGTGCCCAGGCCTCCCTAGTTTTGGAAAATCGCTGTTGTACCATAGTCTGCCTTTAAGCCATCTAACCTTGAACAGCCTCCGTCTGGCCTCTGGCCACGGGCAAGCTGACAAATGCAGATTGCTTCCAATGCTCCATCGATTGCAAATTCACAAACCCTTGCTTGGCTAGAAACATGGGGGAAAAAACTCTTGACCACAGTCCTCACTAAGAGTCCCTTAAAACAGAGCTACAAAATTTGATATGGGCAACAGTCACTTGAAGTAACTGACCTAATCTGTTAAAAGGGCCTCAAATTCTAATGTGTGACTATTTGCAGACTGACCTCAAGTTTCATATCTGACGATAAGGCCCAGCTCAAGTTAGGACACCAGGTCCGGAGCCTTCTCACAACTCCGAAATTTCCAGGGCGCCTGTGAGCGACCTGTAATTCCTTTCGGACACTGAGAAATTTCAGCCCACGCAGTATCCCATACGCCCCGCTTCAGGTGACCCGCCCCAGACGATTGTCAACACCAAAATTGATAATGGCTGTCAGGGTCTTCCGTCCATCCATTTCGGTGCTGTTCTGTTCCACAGGCAGAGAAACAAAGCTCAGAGGGTATGACTTTCCGACTGTCACAAAGCCGGTCACAGCAGAACCAGGCTTAGAACTCAGATCTGCTTCTTTTTTTTTTTAAGTTTTTTTAATGTTTTATTTTGTGGGAGAGGGGGAGACAGAAAGAGACAGAGCACAAGCAGGGGTGGGGCGGAGAGAGAGGGAGACACAGAATCCAAAGCCGGCTCCAGGCTCTGAGCTGTCAGCACAGATGTGGGGCTCGAACCCACGAACGGGAGATGATGACCTGAGCTCAAGTTAGACGCTTAACCGACTGAGCCACCCAGGGGCCCCCAGATCTGGCTTCTTGTACATCAGGTGCTGTTTCCCCTTGTCCGCCATGCCAGAGTCAGGAGACAGGTGTGTCTTTGAGGCCCAGCTACAAATAGCACCTCAAGAAAAGACTGCGGCTGAAACCCAGCATCAGTCTGTGTAGAACTGTCTGGACCAGCAGTTGGTGAAACTCCTAACCCTGATGCCTTATTAAAGACATAATGTCGACAAACGCCTAACACTCTAATACCTCCGGGCTTCTTTCCCCATCTGTGATTGGAGTCTGAATCCAGTAGCTGGAATCTGGGACTTGAGAGGGTTAAATGTAGTTAGTGGCTCACTCTGTGGGCTCTGGATTCCCCCTATTCAAACCTCAGTTCTGCCACTTTCTCCCTGTGTGCCCTTGGGCGATGTACTTAACCACTCTGGGCTTCATCTTCCTCATCTTTAGAAGACATCAGTAGCATTTATGTCATAGTTATTAAGAGGATTAAATAAGTAAAAATGTCAACTATGGTGAGCAATACCTAGCATATTGAGTATCTAGATATTAGCAATTATTATCGATCTAGTCCAGTGGTCCTGGTTGTTTATTATCTAACGCTTCCCTTTGAACTAAGATTTCCAAGGCAATAATAAGTGGGAACTTGTATTTAGGATGCCAATTTTTTTTTAAGAAAACACCGTCTGGCCTTCTGCTTTCTCACAAGATCTTGAAGGAAAGATGAGTTTCTCCTTCATCTATTCCCATCCGTTTGTCCTCCTCCTCCCCTGATCTTCTGTTACTATTTTGAACTTTTATCTGACTCTTTGATTATTTACCTTCTTTTCTCATTAAGTCTTATTTCACTGAGTAAACTCTCAGCAGCTCAAGGGAGGGATAGCACGTGTTTTAATTTGCAGCTTTACCTCTTAAAGGCTAACACCGAGTCTTGCAAAAGGTAGGCATTCGGTACTTCCTGAATTCATTTTGCAATATGAGCAGGTTTGAGCCCTGGCTCGTATTCAGATTTTCCATATTGCCAAGTTACTCCATAAACACATGGGTTAGAACATCTGGATTAGGCTATAAACTCCTACAAGCGGGCTTTAGTCTCTCTTTCTTAGCTTTCGCTCAACACTGTGCACTTACTTGATAACTATGGGCTGGTAGGTATGTCTTTTCTATCCAAGAGAGTCTTACGTGCCTTTCCATCATCAGCCTATGGATGGCAGAGAAATATCAAGGTTTCAGTTTCTTAAAAAGTGAAACATGAATTTGTCATATGACCCAGCAATTCCCTCCCAGGTATCTACCTAAGAAATCAAAACAAACAGCCACGTAAAAAACTTGCAGAGAGGGAGGGGCGCCTGGGTGGCTCAATCTGTTAAGCGTCTGACTTCAGCTCTGGTCAAGATCTCACCATCTGTGAGCCCCACATCGGGCTCTGTGCTGACAGCTCGGAGCCTGGAGCCCGCCTCGGCTTCTGTGTCTCCCTCTCTCTCTGCCCCTCCCCCGCTAGCGCTCAGTCTCTCTGTCTCTCAGAAATAAATAAACATCAAAAAGAAATTAAAAAAAAAAAAACTTGCAGAGAGGGTTCATAGCATCACTGCTTAGAACAGCCAAAAGGTGGAAGTAATGTAAATGTGCATCAGTTGATGAATAGAGAGACGAGATGTGGCGTACCCATACAATGGAGTATTCACTGAGCCATACTATACCATGGAGAAACCCCAAAATCGTTAGACTAAACGAAAGAAGCCAAGTATGAGGGGCGCCTGGTGGCTCAGTCGGTTAAGCCTTCCAACTTCGGCTCAGGTCATGATTTCACAGTTCATGGGTTCGAGCCCCGCGTCGGGCTCTGTGCTGACAGATGGGAGCCTGGAGCCTGCTTTGGATTCTGTGTCTCCCTCTCTCTCTGCCCCTCCCCTGCTCATGCTGTCTCTCTCTCTCTCTCTCTCTCTCTCTGTCAGAAATAAATAAAATGTTAAAAATTTTTTTAAAAAAGAAAGAAGCCAAGTATGAGGAGCGCCTGGAGTGGCTCAGTCAGTTAAGCATCTGACTTCATCTCAGCTCAGGTAATGATCTCACAGTTCATGAGATGGAGCCCTGGGAGGAGCCTGCTTGGGATTCCTTCTCTCTCTCCTCTCTCTTTCAATTTCCCTCGCTGCCCCTCCCCCACTGGTTTTCGCTAAATAAATAAATAAATAAGAAACCAGATACCAAAGGCTGCATGCTGTATGATCGCATTTATAAGAAAACTCCAGAAAGGGCAAATCTATAAGAGACCATAAATAGATTAGCGGCTGCCTGGAGCTGGAGGTGGGAAGAGGAGATAAATAAAGGGGCACAAGGTTTCTTTTTGGGGTGATGACAAGGTTCTAAAATGTACTTGTGGTGATGGTGACACAGCTCAGGAACTCCCTGAATTGTCCACTTAAAACAAGTAAAGAGTTTTGGTATGTAAATTGTACTTCAATAAAGCTGTTACATAAACCAAAACATAAACAAGAATATATAAAAGGCTCATTCATTCCGCGAGGGTCCCCCGCCTCCCTCCCCTTGCTCGTTTATTCAACAGCAACCTGAACCGAACGGTTAAGCACAGACAAGGAAATGGACA